TAAATGTATGGCAACCAGCAGAAAATGCCTTATTGTCCATCTGTACTGACTTCACTTGCCATAGCGCCAATCCAAGATGGCAGAGCATTACTTACGGATTTTGTGCTGCCATGATGGACTGTCTTGGTTCAGATGAAATGTATCAGTAATGTCTTTTAATGATGAGGCAACATGTTATGTGAGCAGGAAGGTTAACAGGTGGAAGTTTGAGTGCTGCCAAGTGAAAATCCTCATACCATGATTAAAGACATGATTGGCAGTGTGAAGGTGACTCTGTATTGCCCTGTCTTTGCAGAGAAAACAGCTACTGGAATTATCTGTCATGTCACATTGCAGAGTGGTTCATCTGCTAGTTTCTAGACAAGATACCAGATGTCTTCAGCAGGATGATATGCCACCAGATATCCACAATGAGGTGGATTGTTGGATTGGCCAAGGGATTCTATTTAATGGTCACTGATTTCATCATATCTAACCCCTCTTGTCTTCTTTTCTGTGGGACTATATCAAGTATTGAATTTGTTTTACTACTGCCAGTGACTTTGGGAAAATTTAGAGGACAGTATGAAATGTGTTTAGAAAGTTGATCATCACCTGTTATAAAATGTTGGGATAGAACACTGGTTTGGTGTGTGTAGAGGCGCAGGTGGAGCACACACTGAATTCCACTGAGCTCCAGTAATGTACCTAAAGAACATTTTGAATTTCTGTTTATAAATTTCTATATGCCATTCAGTTTTTTGAAACAAGTATTTGAAATTGTTCAGATAATTTGTAATCACCCTACCTGTCTCTTTTCAGATATTTTTTTTTTTTATTTTGAAGGAAGTAACAGTAATTTTCCACACAAAATTCTGACATTTTGCATCGTACTCATATTTTGACACAGTTATTCAAAGAAAATCTGGTAAAGTGTAACCGTTAGGATAAAGTAATTCCAAACTCTTTGGAACAAGGACTCGTAGATATACATTAGAGAAGGGTTTGTCCGTTGATTTTTTCCTTCATTTATATTTCTGTGGGTTCCAGTGTCACATAAATCGTAATATGTCTGCTTACTTTGACAATTGTCCTATAGGTTACTGGGCAGTTTGAAGACCATTTTCCTAGTTCAGTCCTCTGTTCATGGTGTGCTGGCTTTGTGTAAAGTGTTAAACTGTGTGGTGTTGTTAGCACACTCTACAAGTATTGTAGCTTTGTATTGCAGTGTTGTAGTATTTAAATTGCTTTCTAATTATAAACTAAGTGTAATAAATATCACTATGCAAATTGACTCAAATACTAGAGAAAAATGTGACAATCGGTTTTGGTAATGATTTAAATTCTCTAAATGGTCAGGTTAGAAGATTAATTAAATGTTGGTTTTAATTTGTACTCTCCAGTTCATATTATGGGTTACCACATCAAGAAGTTTGATGTGGATGGTACATATAGTGTATGTGGGAGAACTGAGAAATATGTGCAAAAGTTCGGTTAGAAAATATTGAGAGTTAAGATCAGCTGTAATGCCAGTGTGTAGATGGAGTATGATACTAAAATTTATGTTAGAGAAATGGGGTGTGAAAATGTGGACTGGATTTAAGTGCCTTGGGAAAGGGTTTGGGGCAAGTTTATGTTGGCATGATGATGGAACCATCAAATTCCATAAAATAGGACATTTCTTCACCAACGTAATGACTCTTTGTAAGCCTCTGCAGCATAGAGTTCGTTAATGTAGGCATATTTTATGTTAGTAGCTTCTTCTCCATCTTCCTTCTCTATGCTCTTTGCAGTTCAGTATTTATTACTATTGATTCATTCAACGCTATATAATCTGAGTTACTAATAGCATTGTTAAATAAACCATAAATAAATTAATAATTGACCAACTACCCTTCCTGCCTTCCTTTTATACTGCATTCTCTCTTCTTTCTTATCTTTCCTTCTTCAGTGAATGATGNTGAGATGAACCAGAATTTCTGAAATGTTGAATTTAGTGTGGAAGGTGGTCTGCATTTCAGTACCACTGTAAGTTTTATCAGGTGCGCACTCTCCTTAAAATGTTACTGCTTCTTGGAATATTATGCCATGTAGTGTTGTGGAGTAACATGCTGCCAGCATTTTCAGTGAAAAGTGACCCTAAAAGTGGAGGCAGCAAGCATGTTTCCTCCACGCTCTCAACCTGATTACTTGGTGCTACATTCCGGAAGACGGTAATCTTCTTAGTCACTATCATGAGAACCTCAGATCTCACAAACAAAAATCACATTACAGGAATACTAGAGAAAATATGAAGAAATGACGCCACAGTTATTGGAACAGTGGTGGTTCAGAATGAATTAGGTAGTGAACCGGTATCATAGTGCTTTGGAAGCTTTTTAACTTTGCATACCTGTTCGTCTCAGAACGAAACTTCATATACATCTTTTCAGTGGCTGCTTGATTTTTGTTTCAAATTGTGTGCTGTTATGCATTGTAAACACAACTAGATACTGAGATTTCTTAACTTTAAACAGACTTTATTTATTCCATAGATAGAAAAAGTTTCATATTAAAATGTGGTAAAGATGTTTTTAGTCTCTCTAAACATACGTTTTACAGCCTGATGTGCTTTCATGTACCCCTCAGTTCATCGCTGATATAAGGCGACGAGCAGAGAATACGGAAATGAGAAGCTGTGTTATGTACAGTTATTTCATTAAATAAATACCTACATGGTTGTTTTACTTTCATATAAAACCAAAACTTCTGAACTTCTAAATTGTATATCATGAAACTTGTTAAGAGAGGTTTGAAACAGAAGCATTGGAAGGGTTGGGTTAATCTTGTGTAATTAACACTTCGTGGACCAGTGATTTAAATATTTAAATCACCCTGGGGACCAGCATTTTTAAACATACTACCCTAACTTGTGCACTGTTCACTTTAAAAATTAATATAAAATCTCCTAATTAATTTTTTGAACTAAAATTTTTGGAGAACACTTATCAGTGCTCCTAGAAGTGCTTGAGGGTGTGATATTTCTGGAAACTTTCCCCTTTGTGAAGTGGCATTACACAGAACTTGCAAATGTAGACATACTCCTTTTTTTGTGAACTTTGCAAACTTGGCATTGCCTAGAAGTATTCTTCCCCCTGGAATGTTCACTCTTCACAATTTTCACGAGGGTATTTTTCCGCATATCACTCGAGAGTTGCCCTGGGGGGGTCCACATGAGGCCTTCGTGGGTGGGAGTTGATGGGCCCGGTCGTACTAAGTCTTTGTGTGACCCTGGTTCTGCCGCCACCATCTGGACTGTAGCCCAGGCCTTTGCCACATTCATCAGAAATGCTTTGTATTTCAATTTTGAATCAGGGTTTAGATTTTTTTTAGATTTTTTGCTGTCCCCATAATGTTATTACCCGCATTATCGTCGGAGCCACTGTCACTTTTACTCTCTGTGGCCACAATTTTTTGTTGTCCCCCATCACTGTTGCTGTCTGAATGACAATTAATCCATTACTACGTGTCTCACAAGGCAGGTCAGCTAGGTCATCGGAGGAGAATTTGTCCTTGATCCATTCTCCCCACTAGCTACTGGCTGATACACACAGCTTGAAGAAGGCAAAGCATTTTCCTTTATAGTCGGTTAAGTAAACAGCGAGGTCAAGTTACTGACTGCTAACTAATCATTCCAGAGTCTTATCACGCATCTGCAGGCGGTTGCGTGCAATGTAGGTGGCGCCAGAACGATGTATAGTGTGTTGCAACTTATCGTATTCTAAAAGCCTGTTAACACGTGAACGGTCCTCCATGTTTAAAAGCGAAAAACCTTTTAAAGGGTGTGCAGTCCGCAAAGTGTTAATATCACAACAAGCTAGTGCATCATTAGATCTTTATCAGTCAGGTTTTTCGTGTGTCCTTGAACTGAAGTAGCATTTCATTTTCTGTCAAAATGATTTACAGCCTTTTTTCCTTGTTTTGTAAGTAAGAATATGTTTATGGCTCATATTGCTTTATACTATCATTGTTTTCTTTCATTTTGTGAGCAAACGGACAGTAATTACAGAATAAGTTTGTTTGAAGTCTCTTATAAGCAGAACTGACGAGACGAATAGAAATCTATTTCTTTGGGTATCAGTATGATACACCATCATCAAAAAATGTTAAACATGAGTCTTTCTAGTGTGCTTGTGTATCTGTTTCGGGTTTTACTTTAATGTGTCTTTTAGATCACACCGTATGAAGCTGTATCAGAATTTTAGTTATGTTTGTGACATACCTAATTTCATATAATGTCTTATTGAAATCTGATTATCTCATGAATGACCCATAGTATAAATAAATTATCAGGAGCATTAACTCTCTGATTTCTAGTGAAAGTAGGGCCTGAATAATAATATATCCTAATCAGGCTTCCATTTTATGGATATTTTTATATGGATATGATATGAATAAGTGATGATAAAGTTAATTTCTGAACCAGGATAATGACATTAATTATTTCCCATTATGTAGTTCTGTTTTTTGGGATTTGGGGTTTAAATACAAGGAAAACAATTTTAATTTTTTAAGTCAGTTGAACAAAGTATTTGTTTTGCAAAAAAAAGTAAGAAATATACATGAATGTCAATATTTGATTTAAATTGTTTTAATAAGCTCAAGAAAATATTGTTCTTTTTACAAGTGAAAAGTTATACAAATATCTGTTACCACAGATAAAATTATTGTTCAGTGAAGTAGAAATGTAAAGAATCACGTGAAGTTTCTGTTTTATAAAAGGAATATGCTGTGCAATATATTTAATTTGAATAATTTTTTACTACATTTACTTGAAATATTTGACTTAGTATTTGTGAGACCTTTTACAAGAAAAAAATTTATGCATTTTAATGAGAAAGATGTTAAAGTTTCAACTGTGAACAAAGTTTTAAGCTGTTTGTTGTTGATACATTTGTCACCCTTGTACCAGCTGTTGCTTTTGTCACCGCCGCATGTAGCACAGTGCATGTTGTGATGTGCTTGTATGTATTGCACGTTAGGTTCTCAGCAAGGATTCGGTCACTGTTTGCGTGGATGCTGTCATATACTACCGTGTCAGGGAACCCCTTGCTGCTGTCGTCAATGTCAACAACTACAGGTGTGTGTGTAAGCTATCATGCATTCTCTTTGCTTATCATTTTTCTAAATGTAGACAATATTTATGTCCCAGTGGTGTATTAATGTATTAACCTTTCAAGGATTAATTTCCAAAAAAAAATATCACCAAGGTAATTTGTTTTCCAGTTGTGTATGCTTGTTTTGAAACCATCATGACAGAAAGGAATTCTGTTCATCCTTGATTGGGGTGTGAGCTTCTGTGCAAATGGTATCCAATGTGGCAATGCTGTATACGTTATGGTGGTGTTTATATAGGAAAATGTTTGCAAGAAGCTTTGTCCTTAAGAGGTTAACAGCAGTAGTTATTATAGAGTAATTTATTTTTATTTATTTTTAATAGAAATCATAAACCTAGCACAAGGTTGCTATTGCATAATATTAAGAAGTCCCTAAATCTTGTAATAGATTTGCTTTGTACAATATTTGGTTGACTTTCTTGAAAAGAAAGTTTAGTTTTATAGAATGTAGCAGAATATAGTTAGTTATTGGTAGTTTTATACAGGATTTTATTCTTTCTTGCAGTACACAGTATTACATTGTGCTTATACCTTTGATTTGTTATAGAAGAAAGCTTGGTGAAGTTGCAATCGTATTGGTAACTTTCCCATATGAGATTCGGCATTCTGCTTTTCGTACTTTAAAAGTTCACTGGCACGAATGGAAATGTGCCTCTCAAGAATATTGTGCTTTATTGTAAGTTAACTTAAGGCTCAGTTTGATGCTGAATGCTGTTTTACAACTTCCTCTGTTAATCTCTCATCATCATCTCTCCATGTGTTATGTTCCTCACCATATCATCATGATTATACTTTCCCACTATTGTCATTTTCATGTTGTGTTTTGCCAGTATTTCAGCCTGTCATCATTTTCATACTATCACACTAGTAATCATCAGCATCTTTCCATTGTTTCAAAGGTCTTCCCAAACTCCTTTTTCCTTTTGCTTTAAATTTTCAGATCATCTTTTGAATCATGTCAGAGCCCATCCTCTCAACATGTTCTCTCCCCTGTATTTTACAAATTCTGTTTGTAGTGGAATTTTTAATTCTCTCACAATTTAATTTATGGTTCAAAAGGATGAACCCGCAGTCCACATGAAACAGTTTCTTCTGATATCATTCTTCTCTCATCAATTCCTGTTGTCCAACATTCACTGTCATAAGGTAAAGTTGGTTAGCAAGTGGCTTAGTTAATTATGCAGCTGAATGTATCATGAAGAAATGGAATTATGTTGTGATCATCTGCCTGTTTTATCCACAGCCACTCGACACGTCTCCTGGCTGCCACAACACTGCGAAATGTTCTGGGGACACGAAACCTGGCTGAGATCTTGTCTGAGAGAGAGGCTATTTCCCACACAATGCAGACAGCTCTGGACGAGGCAACTGATCCATGGGGAGTTAAAGTCGAGAGAGTTGAAATGTGAGAGAGAAGTAACTTATATTCTTAGCGGCCTCCGTAGTCTAGAGGTAACGTTCCCACCTCATGACTCATGGTACGCGGGTTCAAACCCGGCGGAGGTCGTCGTATTTTTAAGGGCGGAAAAGTTCAGGGAACAAGTCCTCTGGGAGGGACTTTAAGCCGTGTGTCATGTGTCGTAGCTTTATGGCACGTAAAAGAACCTCATATCTCCTAAGGAGGTCACTGAGCCAAATTCAAGGACGTTTCCCGCCCAACAAGTAGTCTCTAACACCTCTGATAGATGGGGGAAGCATTATAGATACCGCCAAGCTAGTGGAGGCCGAACTCGCTGGCTCGGTCGGGACTGATGGTACGCGCCAATATCAGTAGGATATAGAGACTGGTAGAATGTCATAGAGGGAAGCACAATGGACCAATACTGGTCTAAGTGCATGGGGAAACCCACCCTCTCCAATAACTAACTAACTAACGTATGTTCTTGCATATTTTTACTCCATGCTGGAATAAATTTGTAACATGTTAGTTGATGGATCCTTGCATGATTTTTAGTGAGTGTAGGTTGCTGTAAATGGTTAAGCACCTGTAAACCAGTACACATGCCTGATAAATATGTAATGTCTTGAAAAGCTCCATCTGTCAAGGTAAAGTATGCAATTTTGCACAAATTTATTAGGAAACGTTATCTTCAATCCATTTGCCATTTCTGTAAGGCACAGCAACAAATTTTGTATATCTGGGATTTGTAACAGTTAATTGTTTCAATCAAAATAGAACACATTGAAAAGGATCAGTTCTGAATAAACATATCTTGCCCCATCTACCTAGTATGATATTTGACTGTAAAGTTATTGTGGAATATATATGTTCATATCCATTTGTACTATGAGAGTTTGTCATTCAAGGTGTAAGAAGGCTGGTTAAATTTTGGAAATATGTAAGGGGATTCTGTTAAGCCTGTAATTCGGTGAACATTTTTCAGGACGTCAGTTGTTTAACTCCGGTTGATTCATTTGTAATGTAACTTGGTTTCAGTTTTATATTCTGCAGTTGATGATTCTTTTCTGAGTGCTTTATATATTACTGAAGTCCCCCATTCTCAGTAAGATCTGAGTTAAGGTTGTTCTTGCAGTGGACAGTGTATATGCGGATGTAGGCATGCCCATATGAATATTTAATACAAATAAAATGTACCTTACTGCCACAAGTTAATTTGTGTTTTGTTACCAGTGGATCACTAAAAGAAAATGATCTGTGATAGGGGGTTAATTATTGGAACAGTTTGGTAAATAAGTAATTGTAACAGCTGATGTTATTGCATCCCAGGAAGGATGTGCGTCTGCCATTACAACTCCAGCGAGCAATGGCAGCTGAGGCTGAGGCAGCACGAGAGGCACGAGCGAAGGTGATTGCTGCGGAGGGAGAGATGAAGGCATCACGAGCTCTGAAGGAGGCTTCAGATGTTATAGCTGAGAGTCCAGCTGCACTTCAGGTATGGCAACATCTCATGCTCCATTATCTGGAGGAGTATCATGAACATATTGTGGCATGTAGACCCACTGCTAGGCAGCGACTGCAACTATAAAACAGCCATTGTTGAGTATTGGTTTTGCAAACAATGGTCATTGCTAGGCAGTGGATGAATAGTGATTATGTGGGCACCCCAACAGACATGAATGTAACAATTGTACTGCAATAGAGGAATAGTGTTTTCTGTGTAGTCCATACCAAGGTGTTATAAGGAGGACAAGTTAGTAGCAAGTTGGTTGGTGAGTTAGATAACTGCTGAGGTTCAGTTATTATAAGGCGTTGCTGTGAGAAGCTGGTAGCTGAGGCTGGGGACAATTCAGGAACCCGGAGGAAGGGGAATGTCCGCAATTGGAAGCCACTATCATTCAGCGGATAGCGAAGCAGTTATTTTGTGTGTTGAAGTGTGTATATGTTTTTTTTGGGGGGTCCCTCTGTATTTTCACTATGACTGTTTCAGCTTCGCTACCTGCAAACTCTGAACACCATATCGGCAGAAAAGAACTCTACCATAATATTCCCATTGCCGCTTGACATTGTCACACCTTTCTTGAAGTCCATCACCAATAATAAATAGGTGACCCAGCTGGCCACACACTACGAGGGGCTTGGAGCATAAATGGGTGAGTTGGACAGGATTGTGTCAACCATTGAAACTTCTTCCCGTAGACCAAAGATAATTTGTCTCTTCTTTTTAAGGTATCTCCCATGCATCCCCCCTCCTTCTCAGACAACTACATCCTTATGTCTAAGTTAAGATTTTCATAATATCAAAATAACTGTGGAGATTATCAGCGTTAAAAGAAGCATGCTTTGTCAAAAATATACAACCTCAGTAACATAATGAGTCCTGGGAGGTAACTATCTTACACTAAGATTCAAAACTTGATAGGATATTTTGTTCTTTGCTTTCAGAGTACCATTTTGTCATAATCCTTTTGTTGTTCCTTTGCAAATGTTCATCCAGTTTCTCTCTGTAATTTACTGTTGCTCCATCAAGTGAATGTATGAAGGAGGAACAATAGAAACATAATGAAGGGCAATTATTGGAGGTCTCATTGGCTCCATCACACAGAATGGACTTCAAAAATCCACTCAATTGACTCACTAAAATGTTGAATATCTTTTTCACAGAGTGAAACAAATTGCATGCGGTGTACTGTACTTGTCATGAAATACTCTTGTCTCATGTATTAAAATATGAGAGAGAGTCAAATGAAAACCTTAAATTTGTAATAAAAAATTGAAATTTCGAGCCATTATCCTGTAAGTTGGTAAGCGTGCAGAATGGCCTGTAGGTTGCAGCATAGTGCAGATGGACGAACACCGTCACAGCATCAGTATAAGATGGCTGCCCCACTTGAGACTTGCACCAGGGAAGAACAGCATTCTGTTATTCGGTTTTTGTGTAGTGAAGGTGTGAAGCCTATAGAAATTTATCAAAGGATGAAGTTTTAGTATGGTGATGCATGTTTGTCACAGCAGCAAGTGTACTAATGGAGTAGGAAGTTTGCAAATGGTGTGACTTCAGTGGAAGATGCTCCTTGTCCGGGTCAGGCACATTGAGTTGTGACTCCAGAGAACAGTGCAGCAGTTGAAGCCATAGTGAGGGAAAACCACCGAGTGACATTGAATGAAATTGCAGCAAATTTAAACATTAGTCATGGTTCAGCACACCACATTGTGCACGATGTGCTCCAGTTTCACAAACTGTCTGCAAGATGGGTGCCACAGCAGCTGACTCCTGAATTGAAAGACCAACGTATTGATGCTTGTGAAGAACTTCTGCAGCGCTTTGAACGAGAAGGTGATGACTTCCTTGCAAGAATCGTTACTGGGGACGAAACCTGGGTTCACTTCCACCAACCGTAAACGAAGAGAGCGAGGAAGGAATGGTGCCATTCCTCATCTCCAAAACCGAAGAAGTTTCGAACACAACCATCAGCAGGGAAGGTTATGCTGACTCTCTTTTGGGATGAAAAAGGCATCATCTTGGAGCACTACATGCCTAGAGGGACCCCTGTCACCAGTGCATCATACTCAGATCTAAAAAATCATCTTCGGCCTGCAATCAAATCAAAGTGACGTGGATTGCTGTCCACAGGTATCCTTTTGCAACATGACGATGCAAGGCCCCATACTGCTCGTACAACAGTTACGACAATCAATGACCTGCATTTTGAGTGTCTTTCTCATCCGGCATATTCATGAGACCTTGTCCCAAGTGATTTTCATATGTTTCGACCACTCAAAGAAGCAATGGGAGGAAAGACATTCCGTTCTGATGAAGAGGTATGCGACGTGCTGCATGAGTGGTTGCGTGGACTACCAAAAGAATTTTTTTCTGAAGGAATTCATGCACTTTGTAAGCGCTGGAGGACTTGCATTGAGCGTTGGGGAGATTATGTTGAAAAGTGATACAGCTTTGTACCACTTGTGCACAATAAATAATACTCAAAAAAATATTTAAGGTTTTCATTTGACTTGCCTACGTATAATAAATAAATTAGCAGAAAGCAGAATATCTCACTGATGACCCCCAGGATTAACACTGAGGTTTAAAATGTCTCCTTCAAAAATATTTGTACAAAGTGTACTTTGAGACTGTGGGCATATTTGATTGTTGTAAGTGAAGGTGTACTTCTGGAACTTTGACTGTTAATTTCATTGGACTCTTGTTTTATAATTACATGATTTTAGGTCTCATGTGAATCTTTCACCTGCTATTTTGGTGTTCATCTCGTCTGTGCCACCTTCAGTCCACTCGTGTGTTGCCAGCAATTCAAATGGAATTCCAACGAACAACTGAATGGAAAATTGCAAAAGTTCATAAAATTAAAGAGTTGTTTTGTGTAATTCACTCTATTTCAGATAAGTGTAAATTTTGTGTGAATTGTTCCTATCTGATCCGGGACATCATTTGAAGGCTACATCTGATTGTAAAAGAAAATGGAGCTTTGATAAGAAAAAAAAAATGTAGATGTAGAATTCTGTATTTGTTTAAGAACTTAATTAAGTGTGTTCTTTCCGGTCACTCTTTTATGTGTATGATGAGTGCGGGTCAAAAGCTAAACATGTATTATTATACTATTACACTGTAATCCAAAAACTGTCTTCAAATTTGAATGTCCTCAGTGACTTTGGGGCTTGTTTGTTACCATAGAGTGATTCACTTAGAAGAATGCATTCAGACTCGTGTCCAAGATGTAATCTGTTCAACATCTAGCGTGAGCCCAACTAACATAAGCTATGATATTTTTGTTATTAAATATAGTTAGAGTGTTACTTTTCATACTACCATAATTTACTCTAAAAGCAGTTACATCACTTTATATTGAAATAAAATCAAATAAAATGTTCTTCCAGTTTTAATCTAGAGAAGTTGTGTGACTTTTCCTTGAATTTTCAGACTGTATTTTGCTTTAATTAATGAGTTTCCTCCTTCAGTTCTTCATCAATTTAAGAGATTTTTGGAGGGATTTTTAGTTCATCCAATTTAAAGACTTTATGGCTATGAAGAGTTATGATCATCTGGGTTTGTAATGTCACATAGTTCAGAGAGAGCCTGAAATTTCAGTGGAATGTACTGCCTTTTTATTCCTGCAGGTTTATTGCTTGACATACTCTTTAACCGTGAAGATGAAGGCATTATGTTACTCTGAAACACTGGGCTGCTCTCCAAAGTACTCTGTGTTACAGCTCAGGAGATGTACTCTTCATAGTCACTGCCATGAGAACCTAGTATCCAACTTGTTCATGGCTGTTTGTGTGTTACATTTAAAGTATAGCATTTCCATCAGATGTTGGTTAAGTTTTCCCGCTCAGCATTTGGCTTTAGTTCTTCATTAAATAATTTGGAACTTTTGGACTCTCATTCTTCATGCTTTACAACTTGGGGAGAATCTGTGTAATAGACACTGTAATTATTATGTAGAGTAATAGAATGGTCAGTACTGGGAAATATGTTCATAGCCATTTTCATATTGTTATTATTTATCACTTTCTTGGTATATATTAAAACTCATCCATAAAAAAGTTATATCTTTTGCAGAGCTGTGATTTATTGTGAAAAATGTGACTAGCCTCATTTTATTTGTTTAAAGCCACAGTGATCACAAGAAGTGTCAGTACATAGTTCAGAATATTGCCAGCAGGTAGCAGAAACTGCAGCTTTCAGTACATGCTGGAGTTGTGCAGAAAAATACAAGGGGGCTCATCTGTACTGTGGTTTATGTTGTTAAATTATGTTTCAAGTTTTTGTAGTAGTGTAATTGGAACTCTGATGGGGGTTGTCTCTTGTTTAAATACTTTTCAATTTGACATACAATGGAAAACAGAAACATTGTGCTGTCCTTCAACAAATAAAGATTAGCCCCTTTTGGTGTTCTCTTAGAAATAGCATTCTTAAGTTTGTCTGTCTGCTGGTTGTATATTAGCAGTTCCCTTTGTTTTGTACTGAGCTGTTTGATGCCTAAACTTCTATATGTGATTACCACAATATAGCATAACCTCTGTTTAGTGTTCATTGATTTAAGGTGTTCCATTATGTAGTTCTCAGTTTCAGTGACCTCAAGTCAACTCTGCTAAATTAGCTACAGTTAAGGTTTTCATCATATTAATGTTGAGATTACCTGCTGCCAAAAGAAACCTTATTTGAATGTTACACTGTTGTCTTTTAATCATTACATGTAATTATATGAAGTGTATAATGCCAAAATCACTATTCTGAGCACATTAACCACAAAAAAAAAAAATGTAATTTGATGCTCCTAAGATAGGGGGGATAAAGATTAATACCAGTAATATGATAAAATGGAAACATTTGTAATTGCGTGCAGGTAATACTTGTGAGGAAGTTGGTCTGGCCAACCAAGGAATCAAGGTTTTATTTCATGCAGGAGCAAGAGATTTTCCTCTTCTCCACACCATCCATACGAGTTCTGGGGCCTGGCCAGCCTCCCATCCTCTTGGTTCCAGGGGCTCCACTATGGGTAAAGCACTCACCCCCATCTGCTGCTGAAGTTAAGATGCCTGGAGGTGTACCTCCACTTCCCCATAAGTTTCATGACATGCTTAATTAAGCACAGGGATAACTTCACATTTTTAGTTGAAAACCCCAAGCAGTGTTAACATTTCAGTGATTACAAATATTAATAATTCAGTGTGTATTACTGTTTAGAGTGTTGCTACTATGCTGAATGTTGCTATAAAGTGTGGAGATCCTTAAGTACAGTTTCAGAAAATCTGAATGTGTAAGTGGATTTCTCTCCAACATACTCAGGGTGCAAAAAACTTTGTCTTCTTGTTACAGATTACAAATGTATGTTATTTTGAAGCAAGTGTTTACTTTTAATAATTCATGCTATGCATATGCACTTATACAACTGTCTAATTTGTATGCAGATAATCAGTGCCATATTAGTTTTTTCCTCACCTGATATATCCCAAGAGCTTCATAATTTGAAAGAATGCCAGAATATTAGCAAATGCCTGGTCTCCAAAACTCAGTTACTGACAAAGCTCCTATGCAGAGCAGTGCGTGGTGTGGGAAAAGAAGTGTTGACAGAAGGAAAAGACAACTATGTCTTATTGCTTGTAGCTCCTTCATGTAAAATAGTTTTGGAATTAAATCTGAAATCTCCACTACACAAATGTAAAAGGGTTTCTGCCCTGTTTCCAAGAAGTTTCAGTAAAATTTGATTTGTTTACCTTATTATTCAGACTGTAAGACACACATTGATTCTTTACTTCTTTTCTGTCTTTCATCTGCTCCATTTCTGCATTGTTCACTGTGATTTATCATTTGTAATTTAAACCCTGTCTTGTATAAAAATCTCTTCTGCCTTGAAAACCCATTGCATTAAAAATGCAAAACATTGCTACCAGCAATGGTTACTTCACAGCATTTATGAAATCCCAGTGCACTGAAGCATTTCCACAATGCAGAGAGAGACATTTCCATTCTTCAAAACTAGCTTGTCCAACTCTCAGAATTTGGGGGTTTTTGGAATTTGTCTATCATCTGGTATTCTAGAAAAAACAATGTTTCGAAAATTGGATCTATTCCCGTCCTCAGGTGAAGGGGGAAGACACCTACTCAGTTGGGTCCCTCAGAAGGAGGGGGACCCAACTGAGTAGGTGTCTTCCTCCCTCACCTGAGGACAGAAACAGATCTAGTTTCCGAAATGTTGTGTTTTCTAGTTTCTAGAATACCTGACGATGGACAAAGTTCAAAACCCCAGTAATTCTGAGCATTACACATCATCATCAGAACCCTTTAGAACGTGTCTTGTCCAAGATAAGCAGTTATGGGTGCAGAGGTAATATTTATATGAGTGTATCAGAATATTTTCAACCTTATTCACTGTTATCTGCTGTACCTTTGGACTGTAAGCCACTGAGATTTCAGGCAACATTTTCCAGGATTACAAGTGTGTGTTATGTTCTGGAAAATATGGTACATCATACTAAAACTGATCATCTGCGAGTCTTCTTTGTTTGTATGTTCAGAATATCTTCTGGCTCTTTTTAGTGTTATTTGGAGTAATAAGATTTGTGACATTAATCATAGTTCAGTGATGTTAGTCATAGAACTGCTAAGCTACACTCTGATTCGACGTGAATTCCTTAAACAAGCACCTGTAGACCATCATCATGTCATATGATTGGTGTCTAATCAGATATGACATTAAGTATTGAGTCTAGTTGATATCAGACCTGAAGTATTACAAAAAATCATTTCAAGAGCTTCCCCACAAACACTAATGTGTATGTGTGCGTAGTTTTTTGAGTCTCGGACATTATCAAATATTTTCATCTTTATTTAAGCATTGAAGATTTATGACTTAATTAAAATTTGGCTGTAATAAAATGTTGATGTCAGTTGTAAGGATGTTTTGCATATGATGAGGCAATATTAAATGATATATATACACATGCACAAAACAGTGTGGGAAATATCGTACGATCGATTTTAATGATAATTAGAGTACCCGTTTTATGTAAACAGTACAAGCCGTAGGAAGGTAATGCATGTTCTGACACAGTCAGAGTGTACTTAGTATGTATTTCAGAATACATTTCAAAACCACTACAGATATGTAAATGTAATTTCAACATGATACTGGTATAGGTGTAGCAACCCAGTCCCCAACCCATTTTCCTGTATCCCTAGGGTTGATGTTCATGTGCTGCAAGTGGTGTAGATCCTCTTCTCCCACACTTTGCACATTTTTGCTACTTCAAGCAACACACCACTGTTTTTCTTATCTCAGTGTTTATATGAGTGACTATATTTTCTTATTGTATGTTTATTTATTGTGGCCTACTGATAAACAAGACCTAGCCAGAGGGATGATTTGGGTGCTGTAATAGTTGTACAGATTTTAACAAAGTCCTCTGTGTATGAAATTTGTTGGCTGTTGCTACTTCTCATGCCCTGATACCTGGTTAGACACAGTGGGAACATATGTTCTGCAAGATGTGTTTAGAAGATAAAATACAGGTTAGTTTTGTTACATCCCATCTGCTCATAGGTAACAGTTCCAAAAGTATAGAACCAGTCTGCATGAAACACTGTTCTGGGCAGGTACTAACGTTGCTGGCTATGAGTCCACTGATGTCAATCATAAGAGAAAATTCAAATTATTTCATATGAATGCAAGGGTAAATGCAGAAAGAATAAAGAGAGCAAGGATGCTGAGAAAGGTACTGGAATTTGAATCAAAAGATAGATCCTGTAAGACAACTCAGAAGAAGATGGCTCAGTTAGGTGCTGGAAGACATTAAGAAGAGAGGAAAGAGGTGGAAAGTAATTGTAAAAGAAAGCTTATGGAAAAAGAGAAAGAGATTGGAAATTTTTTATCTGTATGAACATACAGATTAGAAAACCATATGAACATGGAAATGATGCTAGAAGAAATGAAGAAAAAGAAGAAAGTAAATGTGTTGTGATAGTAATTTGATTAATTAAATGATTATACCAATATTTTGAAGAGTTGCTACTTAATAGCTGTCCCTTTTTTGTTGAATCTTTGGTGAGATAGGTTGTTATTGTTCCAGTGGGTCATGGCTTACAAACTGGGGATATTGGTCATGACTGTCATACATTGAATGCAGCCTAGATCATCGTAGTTTTCATGACATATGAAAAGATTTTATTAAAACAGCTAGGAATGCTTAGATATTTTTCCATAGTCATTACATTTCTTCATAGGATTGTCAAATTCTCTTCAATGACTGGATCAATTTGCCATTTTGGCTGTAATTCAACCACTTGTGACTGAAGAGTGATTATGTCAAAAGCTCCTTCTGAACTATACCAGGCATCAGGTATTAAACATAATGGGAGGCAATTATCTGAATTCTTCCCAGATTGAACTTCAGGCTATGGTCTTGTTAAAGTAACTGAAAGGCTTAATGTTCTCAATATATAAAGTGATATCGAACTTTTCTCATGTTGTATGTTAATGTTTCAATCTCAAGTAATGGTGTAAGATTTGAGGCTTTCACGGCGGTGACTATGAAGAAAGCAGTCTTCTGGGATTTGGCNTTCTTAGTAATATTGTGGTTAAGGATCCCATGTCTTCAATCCAGGCACTAATATATTTAGTGGTCCATTTCTCTGAAAATCAGAATTTAATATATATTATTTTTCAGGAATAAAGTTTTGATTCACTATTTAGGATTCTGGCAAGTGCCAGATCTGACAGGATGGCAGCAGTTACAGACCATTGTCTCAATTTATCAGGCCTAAAAATGCTTGAAAGCTGATGATAAGGGTATGGAGCATCAGAAGTGTGAAGTTTGGTAGGGAAGTTGGAAGCACTGTGATAAAACCCTGCCCCCAAGAGTACTTTTCCTTGGTAGTGCTCCATGCAAGGTGACTTCGCTGTTCTTGGAGAGATGGTCAAATTTATGCAACAGTTTATTGTTTTTATATTAGAAAATTCTGACCATTATTCACTTATTCACTATTTTGGTCAGAAGATATTACATGAGTAATTAGAAATGTACATAATGTCGTATAATACACAATAAATTGAACTTGAACCAACCCAAGCAGCTGGTTGAGAAACCATCTGATCTGTGGTTCTGACATTATAGTTTTTATGCCAGTAAAATTTTGCACTGCTTAACTTTACATTATTTGTTATTTCTGACCAAAGCCCAGTTACTCATTATTACACTGGGAAGATATTACATGAATATTTAAGAAGTGCGGATTATTGGGAAATGTATAGCGATGTTCAAGTCTTTATATTAAACATGTTAAATTTCATGTTATATTGCAGTATCTGCCATGCTGATTTGAATACTTTTATCCCAATGTAAGATTATAACAGTTTACTCTTTGTTTTTCCCATTATGGGCCAGTTTAATTTGACTGTGAATTGTGACATGAAGTAATTGTGAAATAAAGAACAAGTTCATTTACTTAATATTTTTTCATTCCCCCCACAGTATGCAAGCATCGCTCTGCAGTGGCCAGTTGTTACCTTCATATTAGAAGTGCTCAGGCTCAATCCAATTATCCTAACTGAGAATTTTCATGGTTTTCTGATCTCTTTATTGCAGAACCTGATGTAGTTCCTTAAAAACTAGATCTCTTTCCGCCACAACCTTTCTAGTTAATCCACAATCACCATACAGTTGAAAAGGCATTAAACAGAAGCTAAGCAAAGAGCAGTCTGATTGTAGTCAGCCATACTTAGCTACTTAGCTGTGAGTTTCCTGTATTCGCTATTATTCTGTCACAGGGAGAATGGGAATCCACCCAAGATCAGATTTAATGGGTGTCTGGGGCAGTTTCCTGGGGGCTTCTGTGAAAGACAAATAGAATCCACAGATTTACTTGAGGCATTTGCTTCCATAAAATTGTGAAAAGATAATTTGTATTTTTAGTTGTTATTTCATATAAGAACAAAAAAATAATTAGCATAAAAATTCTTTGTTGCTGACAAGATTCGCCACATTTTTATTGGCCCTAAGCCCCCAAAACTGTAAATAGGATTCTGAATGCATCTCACTTCCCACCTCAGAAATGGAACCCATCACTTAACTGGACAAACAGAAGGGAAGAATTAAAAAGAAAAAAGGTGGTAGCTAGATTTTTTCACCGTCATCATTGCCCAGTAAAATTTCCACCAAGGTAGACTGTCTTGTGAAAAAACTGCCTGTGTTCTCTATCCTTCAGTGAGTTCTCTTTTTGTGTGCATATGCATGTCTTCAGTGAATTTGTCTGTCCAGCCATTGTTTGACAAACATCTACTTTTGTCATTCATAGCATCCTTATTTCACCACTTTTCTTGTGATATTTCTATTTTCAAATCGTAT